TGTATATGTGTGTATACAGGGTGTTCACGCAGTTACTAGTCAGTGTTCACCTTGTAAATGGTAAGTATACAGAAAAAATGAAAGCGGAAAATGTTCTACTGTCTTTTACATTCAACACTAGAACCAATAGAATGTGTAATTTTTTTATGTTTATAATATTCGTCTGAAAACAGAGGTAACCTTCAATTTTTCAAATGGAATGTTTTATATTATTTTACATGATACGAAAGCGACTGTTATTGATGACACAATGATCCTCAAGGTTATACAAGGTCAGGAATGGAAGAAATAGTTTGAACATTTCGTAACATTGTATTTACTATATAGTATTTGTTATTGATAAAGCTATAGCATGTTCAACGTGTTACAAAAACGTTACAGGCTTCTGTGTTGATTATAAAAAAAACAGTAAAATTTTTTCCTCGCTCATTTCTTCCGTATTCTTATCAATTACGAGAGAACTACTGGCTAGTAACAGCGTGCCCACTCGGTATATGAATATATACAGGATGTCCCACCAACTCTGTCCATCTCAAATATCTCCACCATTTCAAATAATAGGCGGAAAAATTATTTGTAAAAGTTGTATGGTTGCAAGAAAAACAACACGATGGCTATAGTTTCCTTGAGATGCGTACCCATTTGTTGCATATTCGCGTATCGTATCACCGTTGCGTATCAATTTTGACAGGTAAGCGTTGCATCGTTGCGTATCAAAGTATAATCACATTGTAATCACTTTTTCATATGTAACGATGCAACACTCGCCCGTCAAAATTAATACGCAGCGATTGCCCGTCAAAATTGATACGCAACGATGCAACGCTTGCTTTGACAGGTAAGCGTTGCATCGTTGCGTATCAAAGTATAATCACATTGTAATCACTTTTTCATACGCAACGATGCAACACTCGTCCGTCAAAATTAATACGCAGCGATTGCCCGTCAAAATTGATACGCAACGATGCAACGCTTGCCCGTCGAAATTGATACGCAACGATGCAACGCTTGCCCGTTAAAATTGATACGCAACGATGCAACGCTTGCCCGTTAAAATTGATACGCAACGATGCAACGCTTGCCCGTTAAAATTGATACGCAACGATGCAACACTTGCACGTCAAAATTGATACGCAACGGTGATACGGTACGAGGATATCCAACAAATGGATACGCACCATTAGAGGTGGAGGCGTAACGAAAATCTGAAGGTCAATTTTGTTTTTTCAAATTAGACAGAATAGGGAATTTTCAGTTTGAAAGCATGAAGGTACATTTATCCTAAAACTCACCGTTCCTTAGATATTCGACTTTTCCCACCCTATTACTTTACTCACAATAAAATAACAAAATAAAATAACATAATGTTTTCGCTTGTTACTTGAAATCATGGAGATATTTAAGATGGACAGAGTTAGTGGTCCATCCTGTATGCAGAGTTGGTGGGACACCTTACACATACACAAACACTACCGCTCAAAAGTATTTGATCAATTATCATATGTACGTTTGACGAAACAGAAAATAGAATAGGATACATGTGAAATATTTTCAGATTAGTTACATTTTCAGTTTTCATGGTCACCTTCATTTCTTTAAATGGAATGCTACATTGTTAACCTCGTAAACATTTTTTACATGTACAGACGAAATATAACGATATGTTGTAATGTGACCTGCAAATGACCTTGACTGGTGAAACTTTTTTCTTACCGGCGGACTCTGTTTAGTAATGGTATCTATTATCTATTCGACAATTTCAAAATGTTCTAACAGATATTCAAAATGTGTTCCATCTATTTTCAAACATTTGTGTATCCTCGCCCGAAGAAATGGTGGTGCTAAAGTCAACATCTGAGGTGCACTTTCTGTACAAACTTGTGAAATATTGTCCTTTCTTCGCCAATCAAGGTCGTTACAAGGTCATATATAACATATCAGTGTATTTGTCTTCTCACGTCTTAAATGACCACGAGGTAAAAAATGTAACATTCCATTAAAAAAAAGATGACCTTCATTTTTCACCAAGGTCACCTTAGCCTTGAAACTTAAAATATACCCAATGCACAAATGTTTCACATACCACAAAAAATTTGCCCCCTGTTACCATAGAATTCTCAATACACAATTTTCGAATCTCTCACTTCAAGAGATATTCACTTGTAACAGTTTACGTAACTCACCCTGTATATGCAATTCTGTCATTTGAATTCATCCGTAGCATTATTATGTGCTATAAATATAATTGTGCAAAAATGGCTATAATTAGGGAACAAAGTCAAATAGAACATATGTTTATATGAACTCCTTTCGTTGCCTTTTATCCCCTGTCCATTTCTGTTAAGAAACACCCTGTATATAGTTTTATTACTTCCATTAAGTTAATATTTAATATAAAAGTATACATATACAATATATAACGTAAGTTTAAAGTCACAACTACAGTCCTTTAATTAATAAACTCAAATATTTGTTCCACCTGATGTATGATCAAATACTTTTGAGCGCATGCGCGCGTCTGTCACTCTCTATATTTCATAAAATTTTTTAAAAGGTGCTTCTACGCAACAAGTGATTCTTTCTCTCGATTAAATCAATCTGAGGTTCTACTATCATTAAAAATCTGTTACCAATCTTTTGTCCTTTCTTCCTTTCTGTATATCGGTATTTTATGTTTAAAATAATAAAACACTCTTGAAAAAAAGGCAGATTCCTTACACACATTACAATATTTCAGGACAATAAATGTGTGTTATAAAATATTAATGCTTCAAATGTAAAGATTAAATAAATAAATAAAGACTTTTAATTGACGAATAAGTGCTACTGAGAACGCAATCGATGACACGTGAAATTCGTAGATTACCATGACGATGCTAGAATTTGAAGACTGATGCTATCAACAATACGTATGTATACTTACATGTATTTACTACTTTTCTACTTTTTTAGATTTTTGCTCGAATACGTTATTGAAATGTCACTTAAATATAAAGTTCTCGTATGCTACCCTGTGCTTTAGAATCTATAAGATGTTGAAATGCGAGGAAGTTACATTTAGAGTCATTAACAAAGCTTAAAGATATTATCAAATCTTTTTTAAAACGATTCTCAAATACTTGAATATTCATATCGGAATTTCAAGGAGGCAGTAAAATTCAGTAATATTGGTCTGTTGTGCAGGTAAAGGAATTATTGCTCTAGAAGATAAAAAAATTTTCAAAAATAAGAGAACTTATTTTCTTTTTCAAATAATATTGTTACATATATAATTACTATTGTTATAATTACCCAGAGTATCAAATGAATCAAACTTTTTCATCACCTGATAAATGAAATGCTTAGATATGAGATTTTTTAATAACAAAAAAAATGTTTCTTATTTGTTTATCTTTTAGAGAAATCTTCCATATTTTTGCAACATCCAAATGTATTGAACACATTGGCACTTTAATTAATATTAATTAATTGTACACTTTTTAATATATTTGATGCGTATACAATCGTCCAAACGTTTAATCGCACTTATTGCTTTCAAGATGGAACTAAACACTGAAACTATCAAGTTTAAAATATATTATTCTTCTCCTATTCAAAGTTATCTAATTTGATTGATTTCATTTCTGCTGCTTTATAGAATCAATAAATTAATGATTAAATAAAAATCTGTTAAAACAGTACAATAAATAATTTAGATTAATAATTTAAAGTAACCTAACATACTAAATGCACAGTAATAAATTGAACTATTTAGTACAGAGGTAAATTCCTTTGGAAATATAATGGAGAAAATTATCATTTGATTTTTTTATATAACAGAATTCAAATTTTCAGACTTAATACGCACAAAGAAACTATTAAAATCAGGAAATACTTAAATAAAATTTGTAGAATAAAGTAGAAACAATGTAGAATCATAACCTTCCCTGGTGATAATATTTATCAATTAGAAATACTTGAAGATAATCTGCCAGAGAAATGATTACATACAAAATATATACCGAAGCACATCTGTTTAAAAATATTGTGTTACAGAAAAGTATGAAATTATAATCAATTTTTAGTATTTAAGAAATAAAGTTTAAGTATTTTAAGAAATAAATTTCAAACAAATAATAAGATTAAATTTCTGGTCTTTTTCGGAGTACGATTAAACTTTTGGAAAGTATCATTTATTTATACTTCTTTCTTTCATCGAATTCGAAAGTTGTGTGGATGTATTCACTACATACTTCACGAATAAAGTGGACAAATCTGTCTGAAACGGCAATATACTCTGACAAATATGTAATATTTAGTAAGTTAATTTCTTTTTAACGATAATTTGATTGAGTTTAGATACATACTGCCAAATGTACTTTCTGCCTTCAATCTCAGGTATCGTTTCTACATCTAAATTGTTTCGCTGACTATACCGAGACTTTATTTAAAGCTTTCCGCGCTTCTCATACTTACTTCACTTCGGATCCTGTCCGATAATATTTGATATTTCAGAGCCTCATCATTATAATCATAATAACGTTTAAATTACGTAATTATTGCAAAAGTATAATTTCATTATCTTACGAAACACCTTTATTGCGTAAAAAATTTTGCTTTAAAATTTTTGTATGTACGAATGAAGAAAGAAAATGGCACCAGTCTTAGGATCACTGAATCGATTTTTCTTGTACACTAATTTTTCGATATTTTACTTAAATAAATATAAATATAAAGACGAAATATGAAAAGTATAAAGTGTATATGAATAATTCTATAAAATCGATAAAATTATATCAAACTGACGTTACAATACGTTAGGAAATTAATAACTGTAACAAAACGATATAGTAAATATTTGGTTACTATGTAACTTTGAAAAGTTATGTTTAAAAATGTTCCCCAAATAGACGTGCCGAAATAAATTCAAAAAACCAGCTAGCTCTTTTATCAGTCAAATATATTATTTTTGAGCAATTTGGAAACTATTTGGAAGTGTGAATGTACTGAGTTATTCTTTATTCCTACCACTGAGAAAATCATCCATACTAACTACTATGGTTCTGTTAATTAATTACAATGCACTTGGTACATCTTACTTTCTGTCTATTGTATGTTTTGATCACGGTCGTACTTTCTTCTAATCGTAAAATAAATGACTTGTCACATTAAATGTGACGTGAAATGCAAGAAAAAAAAAACTTAACTTTTATTCGTTAAGTAATTATTATGCAATTTGTGCGCTTCATTTACTTTAAGTGCGCCAATATAAACTGATTATTCTCAATCAATGAAAATAGTTGGTCCACCTTGCATAGAAAACTTCTTACATATTAGAAAATGCGAAAGAATGATACTTTTACCAATTATTGCATAAAATGCTATGCGGAATAAACTAAAAGATCATGAGAAACAGTATTACACATTAGTCGGTGGGTCCATAGCGCAAATGATAGATTTCATTACAGTAGCAGCAGCTAATGACGCATAAGGTTGCCATTCTTTTATACGTGAGCCATCTTTGTAATCAGAAATACCTCGTATAACGGCGAAACTTTCACGACAATTACCCAAAATACTTTCAACCACAGCATCCATTTCTGCATCAAACGCCAGGGCTCCAAAACGGGTTGCAAATTTCTGTCTAAGTTGATCATTGCGCGCAATGTGTCTACCAGATGCTATAGGGGCTAGATGAATTCGTGGACAACCATCCGTTCTGAAACAACAATAAATTATTCTTATGTAGTCAATAAAAGAAAAATAATTGAAAAACAATTAAATGTTTAGGAACGTTGCACACATAGTATTTTAAATAACGGGCAACATTCATGTATTCAGGTGCCACTTTAAAAATTAATGTTCATCCTTTCATTAGGGTTAGGTTAGGTTAGGTTATTATCGACATAAAAAAAATGTATGCACTATTAAGTAGAAAACTACGTAGGTTATAACTAAAAAATTTTGTAATTTTAAAAAGCAATATATCTACCAGAAAACATGTACAATGATTAACAACCTTTTAAGAGTCGCGTCTAAAGGTGCAGTTGGATGTGCAACTTCAATAACATCCCTTTCACCAATAGCCATGTACAACTTATCAGACTCCGGTGGAGGTAGTTTGAAATCATGCTCAGTTTGATTACTTAACATATCTAAACCTTCCTTCAGGTACATTTGCCATGGAGGATTTGTTTCACTCTTCGACTGAAAACAACAAGATTGACAATAACTATTCCAGATAGTTGTTGAAAACTTGCAAAATTATGACTAACCTGGTCTTTAAGATTAGCAGCGATTTCTTGAAGGCATAAATTTGGTGGACAATATTCTTTGGTTTCAAAATGATAATCACCACTTTCGTTTGACTTTGCGCTTTCACAATAAACGTAGATGTACTTCTTACTAAGAGTAGTAGGATGAGAAATAACCACATCACCAAGTCGTACATGTTTATTATAATCTGTATAATGCGGTACTCCTCCTCCAATTCCAATTAAAAAGACAAAATCAACTTTTTGAAATGTACCTGCAGAATGTATAAAATATTTGGATGCAAAACTTATTGTAAATAATGTTAACACAGGGTATTCGGCAACAGTTAGGAGAAATGTTAAGGAGTGATTCTGCGCGACAGGATAAGACGAAAATGAAGAATAACGAAGTTATAAGAAAATTCGGCTTTGCTTTTGTTTTAAATATTAAAAAAAATCGATAGTATAGCGATTAGGACCTAACACTCCGCCACTGTAGCAGAGGTCGGGAGACCATGATATACTTACGGTCAATAACAATCATTAAATGATATCAGCTTATTTTGAAGAAGCCCTGACATCACTGAACGATGGTTTTTGACTGTAAGTATATCATAGTTTACTGACCTCTCCTACAGTTACCTCTGTATGGCGTCAGTCGTAACATCGATTTTTTTTAACAAATAACTAAAAAAATAAAGCCGTTTTTGCAATTTCGTTATTCTTCATTTTCGTTTTATTTTGTAGTGCAGAATACCCTCTAGAAATTTCTCCCAAATGTAACCGAAAACACTGTATAAACAAAACAAACATTTTAAATGTTACCTAATAATCTGGTAGTTGTATTTCCTGCTGCGGTCATTGCTTCTCGTGTATGACCCACAGTTGGTAGTTTTGTGCACACAATTCTATGTGCACCAATATTGCCTAATGTATAGACATTTGACTCACCTATAACAAAAATAATCTTCTCTCATAACAGAAAAATTGTGCATTATTAAAAGTTCTGAAATTTGTGTATGATACATGTGCATTGTGCTACTATTGAAAGACTGGTATCGAACCTGTGTTATATGTGACTAGATTGATTAAAAATTATTCATTCCGTACAGATGCAATCGTGTTCAGTACCTATTACCATATATATAAATAAATTAATCCATTAAAGTTATTAGTAAGTAATTTAATTTTGATTTAAAGTAGTAAATCATCATCTTAATACATTTGCACTTACAAATCAAAATTTATACAAAATTGTATAAAAATGATTATATCTTGTGAAACCAAAATCACTTTGATAAATTTCAATCTTAGTTTGAAAAAAGGAGGAGAATTATAATAATTATATTAACATCTCATAGATAATTAAATTTTCAAACCTTTGTAATTAATTCGAAATGTCTCGTTGCATGTAGTAAGTAGAGCATGGGTGGATATAAGACACTAAGTAATAAAAACAAAGTGCACATAAACATATGCCTGATATGACCTAGTTTTCGAATTACAGCTTGTTTTGTGTTATAACAATCTTTTCGTGTATAAACAGATGCAATGTAATTAAATATTGGTTTACTGTTTTTCTGCAAGATTTGAGAGTCATGAGATTTGAATCCATGAGTATTGTATTGGGTGATTCCATTCCAATTCGATCACTTTTTGACGTCGACATGAGAGATTTTGTTCCAAATGAAATATAATATAGTACACGTGATTTTAGAGGGAGTTTAAGTCATCATTTATCTGCTTTCGAATTTGTTTAAAAAATACGGACCTTTGAATTTGGCATTTTTTGCCCATTTTTATGAAAACGAGCTGTACTTATCAAGTTTTATCTCGGAAACTATTGAGCAAATTGAGCTTACTTTTTTTTGTTTTGATCTAAAAGGATAGTCCTATTGTAATAATATGTTTGTTATTTGAAAAATTGATTTTATAATACTGAAAATCATAAACAAATTCTTATTTCGTAAATTTCTCTATGATGGACTAGAGGTGTTCCGTACCGGACACATGTTTATATGAATTTTTTTTCTTATTTTAGTGTGTTAAATCCACCCCTGCTATACTTCCCACATACAAGACATACTGTATAAAATACAAATAATCAACATTTACATGTACAAAATTTGTATATGATCAAATGTATACAGTCTGGGACAAAATGATAGCACATCATATATTTGTTCATACTTTGTAATATAAACTGAAAAATATATATATTTGAATATAACAACTCTGAGCATGGTTGTAACTGTATCATATCGAATTTCATCCATAATACTGGTTATAAAGTGAACAAAATGGTAATACAAAGAGTATGCTCCTCAGCTGTAAGTGAGCTGTTGAAATGCTAACATCCATTGTAGAACAAAATCTGTAAATTGTACTGTGGTGTACTAATCATTAATGATGTATATCTATTAAGAAAAACCATTAATATATTAGGAAGAATGAAAAATGTATGATAGAAAAGAGACTAATTGCAAAGGAAATACATACCATATTGAAATTGAAGGAAGAATAGTATTCAATTGTAAAAATAGCCAAAGTTCTTAATAGAAATCGAAGTAGTTATAAATTTATTAAGAGGGATCTTGAGAACTATAAGAAGAAAAAAAGTTGTAGACGTCCTCATAGTTTAATAGCTCGGGATTAATGTGAAATTTTAAGAACAGCATCGAATTCAAAGATGACCGTAAGATAAATTGCTGAAAATGTTGGAATACAGGCTAATGTCAAGAACGTCCGACATATTTCACAAAAATGTAAACATTTAGCAAAAAAGAAATTGCAAAAAATACATTCTCTAATAAAACAGCATAAACATAATCATTTACAATCTGCAGAAAAATATATTGTATATATAAAAAATATGGCGAAGTTTCATATTTATGGACAAAACGAAATTTAATTTAGACAGACCTGATGATTTTAATTACTATTACCATAATTTAAGAAAAGAACAATTTTTAAGCCACCATCAAACAATGGGTAGCAGTGAAATGATTTGGGCCGGTATTGGCTATCATGGTAAAACAAAAATAAGATTTATTAGAAGCTGAATGAATAGCAGCAAATATCTTAAAATAATTAATAAACAAATAAGTACGTATGCCATAAAAATTCCCGGAAATAATTATGTATATATTTCAACATGATAATGCTACAGTCCATACTGTGCAAGTTGTAAAGGAATACTTTTCTACTACAAAAATTCAAATTTTATACTGGCTAGAAAAATCTCCTAATTTTAATATTATGAACACGTTGACCGCCACATTTCACAGCTCATCATCTGCCGCGCAAACCGAATAAAATTCACCGTATAATTTATTTCATTTTCTTGTGTATCATATATGTACATTCTTTAAATACATCATTTCTAATAGTGTATAAAATAAAATTTTTAAATCCTATCATTAAGTGTCAATAACTGAAACGCAATTGCATGTGAAATCCATGCGTCTGTCAACGTCGGCTGCCGTGGCGGTTAACATGGTAAGTATAGTTGGGGAAATCTTGCCAGAGCAGTATATCGAAATTGCAGACGTTTGAACATGTCAATGAATTAAAACAATGTATTCAACACTGGTGGAAACAAAACAAGAAAACGTTAAAAACTCTACAAATCTTTGTCAAAAAGATTAATCGCAGTCATTTAATGTAAAGAATGTTTTACAAAGTATTGAACATTGAATAACATTCTTTAATTTATTTATAGTTTTAATTTTTAAATAAATGTGATATTATTTTGCCCCTTTAAATTTCATTAATATTTACATTTTTTTTAAATAAAACTAAATCTATTGTTAAAATTCAAATTCATTTCATTTATATATATCAACAAAGGCAATCTGAAAAAATGTATATATAAAGAGTTTACTTTGCATTGTTTAACAAATAGAAATTAAGTCATTCTTAAAGTGTGCCTGACTGTAGTGTTTTGTTTCTGACTGTATAATGTATTATTGCATGTCTAATAAGTAATTTAAATCAGATAAGAATATAAAGTAAAATTAAAAAAATATATTACAAAATTAAAATGTAACATATATAATTTCTTTTCTTAAGTGTTAATTAATTATTTAGTTTAGGAACAAAAACAATAATTATGAAAAGTTAATACCAGCCTTAAATAATAAAACAAAATAAAATGATATAACAATATCTTTCACACAAACAAAACAAAATGATATATAAACAATAGACAGGTGAACACAGGACATAAATTGCGATGATGTTGAACCATGCCCCTTTAATATGTATGTATGTGCAGTAGATTTAATTCAACTTGCTAATATTGCTGAAAGAATAAATATTTTAAAGACAAAGACAGGATACCTGAGATGATATTTTGAGTGAATTTCATTGCAACATAACAATATTTGTTTTTTGCCATAGAAAAAAATAATATTTTAATAAAAATGTCTATTAATGTATATTTTTCACACCACAGTGCCTCTGCGACGTTTCTTGAATACAAGCAATTGGCAAGCTATAAGGTTAAAAGACAGTGAAACAAAAAGGAATTATATTACAAACTACTTTACCAAAACGACATGTCACTCGCGGTACTCCATCTGTCGCATCAGGTGAGCTTGCTGTACCTAAAGTTTCATGCGTAGTGAAATATATATACGCAATACGTTTTGTACTTTTACCATCGATTTACACGCGATATTAAAATTAATATGAGTCATTTTTTTGCAAGTTTATAACGTGTACTTTTAGAACAAGAAAAATTATTACAACATGAGGTTATACAATTGTACTTTAATAAACTAAAATTTACATCTAACATATACTAAGAAACTTTTAAGAAAAGAAAAATTTAATTTAATCATTAATAAAGAATATTTTAAATTATATTTCAAAATAAAAAAAATAGTAATAACATAGCATTTATAACAAATATGATTCTGGAAAACTATTTATGCTGTATTTATATTGTAAGATTAAAATAATAATTATTATAAAATAAATTAATATATCAATGTATGCAAGGTGTACCACCTAGCTTTATCACCTGAAATATTTCCGTTGTAATTAAAATTTCATAAAAATGTTTCCTAAAGTTGTAAAAGTTGCCTAATTTTATGGGAGCCAGTGTATAATAATAATAATAGTTTTATTTCGTTGCAAAGGGTTAACGAGTTAAAAAGGTCAACTTTGTTTCTTTAAATGTTTATTTTAATATTTGTAATATTTTATTTATTTGGATATGATATCCATTTTAAAGATCAATTCAACGAGCTATAACAATAAATCCTTCGAGGTCAGCAAAGGTCCTATAAACAAAGTTTTCTGTTTAACTTCCGGTGCCGCCGCGAAGTAACATTCTGCTTAATCTCCGACTCTTGGGAACGCTTCTTTTGTTTATCTATATGTTGTAAGTGCCACGGACATCTTTAATTACATTTAAATATTTAAAGGAGATGTTCAAAGTTGACTTGGACGCGATCGTTCACTTTGTTTATACGACCTTCGCTGACCTTGAAGGACTTAGTATTATAGGTTGTTGACATGGTCTTCAAAATGGATGTTATATACAAATAAATAAAATCTAGTATTCCATTTAAAAAAACAAAATTGACTTTCTTATCGCGTTAATGCTTTGCAAGGAAATAAAACTATTGTTATTATACACTAACTCCCATAAAACTGTGCAACTTTTGTAGGAAACATTTTTACGAAATTTCAATTACAACGGAAATATTTCAGGTAATAAAGTTAGATGGTACACCCTGTATATTATTATGTGCTTCTTCTGTGTATTTATACATAAAACATGAAAATTAATTTATAAGAATGCCATGTAAAATAATTATAAGGTAATAATTAAGACATATCTTACCAACAGTAGTATAGCGGACAAATGTTTCTTTGTTTTCAATCATTGAATCAACTGCCAGTTTTTCACAATACCGTGCAGTAATAATTGCTATAGTAGGCTGTTTTGCACTTGCCATTGTTGGCATTTGTTTGACAACCTAAAATAAATAATGTAACAATAAATTCTAAAAATAATTATTACAAATCTTTTACCAAAGAAACAAAAAAATATATTTAAAATTTACCTGAATTTGTGTATCTTGCTGTACAACTCTAGTAAAAGCTCCATGTTCTATTGCTTTAACAACACCCTTTTCTTGCAATTCTTTTAATTTTATTTCAATAGCAGAAGGGTCCCAACCATGTTCTCTACAATAGGTATATTACATTAAAATATTTATTTTTCAATACAGAAACGATTAATCAAGTTTTATACTAAAAATCTTACTTTGCTATGTCAATTACTGTTATTGGATTTGGATAAGCAGATTCAATAAGTTCTAACACTTTTTCCAAGGTCAATTCAACCATCTGACCAATAACTGTTTCATCTGTTGATACTATTAAACAGAAAAGTTAAATATTACAATGTTGTTCAACATGTTCTATAAGTCTGTAAAATGTATAGAGTGAATAGTAAATTATGCATGATTATTTTCAGATAAAAATAATTTTTGGCAAATAAACAACTACAGTTTGTGTATTTGCGTATGCTAAACATGTGTGTACCATATATGGTGAAAAGCTACTTAAGACTTGGAATAAGAATGTAATTTGTACTACTAATGCCTTTAATAGAATTACTGACACAGAAATTAAGTCTAAAAATCTTATATGGTAGAAAGTGACTATGAGTACAAGGTGATTTGTATTAATGATTAATGTTATTCAACACAGTACAATAAAATGTTGTAACACAGTTGATACTAAATTTGTCATTAGTATGCATATATTAAACAGAAAATAAAATTTGTGGATCATAGTTTATAATATCTCTTCTTATAAATAATAAAAACTTTTTAATTCTATTCATCAATTAAATTGT